CAACGGAAGGAAGACCTTTCTCTCTGTCTCTCTCTCTCACTGTCCACTCTGCCTGTAAAAAAAAAAAAAAAACAACTTTCAACCTGAAGTATTTGTGCATTTGCACCTAAAGTGATATTCTTGTAGACAGTGTAAAGCTCGATTATGTTTTTTAATTATTATTTTTATTTTTTATTTATTTCCAAGACAGAGTTACAGAAGGTGAGAGAGAGAGAGAGATCGATCCTGCACCCGCTGGTTCACTCCTCAATGGTTGCAACAGCTGGGCAGTGCCAGGATGAAGCCAGGAGCCCAGAGCTCCCTCAGGGTCTCCTCCATGGGTGCAGGCTCTCCCATGCCATTAGCAGAGAGCTGGATCAAAAGTGGACAGCCAAGATGCTAGCATTGAAGGCAGCGGCTTTACCCACTAATGCCACCATGCTGGCCCCAAGAGCAGGGTTTTAAAACAAAACAAAACATTTTCTGCCAAATTCTGTCTTGGAGTTGAAATGTTCAGTTTATTTATATTCATTGTAATTACTGATAATGTGAAATTTATGCCTGACATTTTGCTATTTGTTTTATATATGTGTTACATATATCATCCTTTCTTCATTACTGCCTTCTTTTGTATTAGATATTTTCTAGTATATAATTTTTATATATAAATAATATATTTTTTTCATTTCACTATACATATTTTCTTCAGTAACAACTTAGATGTTTACTAAATATTTATGTAGTAAAATCATAATGTAGTTTAATCTAGTGCACACTTCTGTTTTCAAGGTGGTAAATCAACTACTTTGATGAGTGTTTTAGTGACAGTTGCAACAATAAAAATTTAACTTGTTGCTCAAGCTAATACCAATAATCAGTACAAATTACCTTGAAATTAGACTCTTTCAAAGCATACATTAAATATATATTGTTAATTTGATCATTACTTTATATATTATATTAAAAAACTTACATGTCACATAGTAAACAGCTTAATTGGGGTTGATATATTTGAGACTATCTTAAAACAAAACAAAAAAAAAGATTTGTTTATTTATTTGGAAGGCAGAGTGACAGAGAAAGAGGGGGAGAGAGAGATCTTCCATTTCACTGGTTCACTCCTAAAATGACCACAACAGCAAGGGGTGGGCCAGGCTAAAGCCAGGATCATGGAACGCCATCCAGATCTCCCGCAAGTATGACAGGGGCCCAAGCACTTGGGCCATCATCTGCTGTCTTCCCAGTTGCATTATCAGGAAACTGGATCAGGAGCAGAGCAGCCAGGACACATGATGCCATGTCACCAGCAGTGGTCTAACCCACTGTGCCACAATCCCAGCCTCAGTGTACTTAACGTTAAATAGCATTACCTGTTTGTAGAAATCGTTAGTAACACTGAATTTTTATTTGGTTTGCAGCATTTCTTCTCATCACTTTCTCCTACGCTGGGAGATGACCACAACTTTAATTATATAATAATGGAGAAGTTTGTAATTTATTTGATGTTCAGAAACAAAACTATTAGATTCCATGGAGACTTGGGACTTATCTACCTTTAAATGTAATATTTAGATTTCTTAATAACCTAAGTATTTAAAATAACTAATGTAATACCTTTTTTTCCTTATTTATTTCCAAATAATTTCCTTTTTTTTTTTTTTGCTTCAGAAAACTTCAACCATAAAAGCACTGTGACTGCTTCGAGGGAAAAGTGTTTTAATATACAATCCCTACACTCCTAAGTAATTGCATTCTTAGGTTTCTGTTTGTTTCTTTTGGCTAATTCTGAATCCTTCTGTTTTTTCCTTTTACGAGAGGAAAATTGAAGTAGACTTTAGGTGATCAAAAACAAAAATATTGGCCAAGGGTCCAACAGTGTGTATTTTGCATTTGTGCTGCCATGAAACAGTAGTTCTGCAGGTCCTTCAGTCCCGTCACTGCCACTTGCAAGTGAAGGATGTGAAGGAGGCTCTGTAACTGAATGAGCAGACTTTGTGAAGTGCCTCCTGTTTTAACACCCAATCACATTCGTTTACTTTCCTCATTCTACTTTCTTAGAGTATAGGAAAGATCTGTTTATGTAGTTTGTTTTTGCCAGTGCCTGTAGAATAACAAGATTTTTAAAAAATAAAGTGTGGGGGACGCTGAATCCAGAGAGGCCTAGAGGAACTTCCTGAGCCTGCCTCGAATTTGAAAACCTGACTTTAAGTTTCAAATCCCTGGTATCAAACACCCCAGCCCCAGGGTGCTTCTGCCTAAGGATCATCAAGGTGGTATAACAGGAGTGCCTAGGACCCTTTTGCATCACAACACCCCACCCCTTGCCCGCATCAGCTCATCCCGCTCTGTACCATCCGCTCTGTACCTCAGCTATATATACACCTCCCTTTTACAATAAAGTGAGACCCTGCTTCAACTGGGCTCCACACCGCGCCTGATTGTCCCCCGGGTTTGGGGAAGGCTGAGTGGCGGGTGGTGCACTTCCCCTCCTTGGTCAAGGCAAGCTGCGGGCAGCCTGCCTAATTCTCCGGCGGTGGTGAGGAACAGTCACTGCAATAAAGTTGTACAGGGGCCAGTGTTGTGGCACAGTGGGTTGAACCACCACCTGCAATGCTGGCATCCATATTAGAGTGCTAGTTGAAGTCCGGGAAGCTCTACTTCTGATCCAGCTCCCTGCTAATGTGCCTGGGAAAGTAGCAGAATTTTGCTCAAGTCCTTAGGCCCCTGTACCCATGTGGAAGACTCAGGTGGAGTTCCAGGCTCCTGGCTTTGGCCTGGCCCCAAGCTGTCACAGCTATCTGAGGGGTAAACCAGCAGATGGACAATCTCTTTGTCTCTCCCTCTCTCTGTCATTCTTACAAATAAATAAAATAAATCTTTAAATAAATAAATAAAATTGTGTAAAACATTTACTTTATTGACCTTTGTATCATCACTGTATTACAACAGAGCCAGTAATCGTGTAGCTTTGTCAGCATTAGCTGGTTCATCTTCATGATGCAGCGGAGGAATCAGCTCTTTCTGCCAAGATTCCTGAGAAGGCCTCTCGAGAAATATGCAAGCCCCTTTTGTATATTTACAAAACATACAAATTTTGCTAATTTTTTCATCATTCACAATATTTTTCTTCTTAAGATTAGTAGTAACTGGTTTTGCTTTATTTTTAGCCTTAAAGTTCTCTGACCGGCTCTGTGAAATACGTTTCTGGATTTCTGCCCTCCTAATTTGTTCTTGGCGCAGCAGCTTGAGCCCCACATGATGCCATTTGCATACCCTTGTACATATTTTTACATTACTTTTGTATCTGTTATTCTGGGAATTACAATCAATCTTAATTTACAACAGTATCAACTGAAGGATCAATACCAACTTAACTTTAATAGTAAATACAAACGTGCTCCTGTGTAAGTCTGCTCCTCCTCCTTGGATACTATTAGTGTCATACCAGTTATATCTATGCATTGTTTGCCAGTCGATACAGATTTATAATACTGCTTTACATAATTGTGTTTTAAATAAGATAGGAAGAAAAACTTTCTGTACATTTATACTATCTTTTATATTAACCAAAGTAATTACTTTCATTGCTCTTTTATTGCTTTGTGTGAATTTCAGTTACTGTTTAGTTCCTGTTTGTTTTGGCATGAAAAACTCCCTTTAGTGTTTCTTTAGTGCAGGTATTCTAGTGACAAATCCATTCAGTTTTTGTTTAATTCTCTTTTATTTTCAAAGGGTAATTTTGCTGGTTGTAGAATTCTAGACAGAAAGGAATTTTTTTTAAAGATTTATTTATTTATTTGAAAGTCAGAGTTACACAGAGAGAGAAGGAGAGGCAGAGAGAGAGAGAGGTCTCCCATCCACTGGTTCACTCCCCAACTGGCAGCAAAGGCCAGAGCTGGGCCGATGCAAAGCCAGGAGCCAAGATATTCTTCCAGGTCTCACATGCGGGTGCAGGGGCCCAAGGACTTGGGCCATCTTCTACTGCTTTCCCAAGCCATAGCAGAGAGCTGGATCAGAAGTGGAACAGCCAGGACTCGAACTGGTGCCGTATGGGGTGCCAGCACTGCAGGTGGTGGCTTTACCTGCTATGCTACAGCGCCAGCCCCTGGACAGGAATTTTTATCCCAGCACTATGAATATACTCTCCGTTTACTTTCTAGCTACCATAGTTTCTGGTGAGAAATTGTTAATCTTATTGAAGAACTCTTGTATACCAGAACACATTTAGGTAAAGTTTTATTGTTCCATAGTACTTACATCAGGGTGACTATAGTTCACAATAATGTAGTCAACCCTGTATGAAGAACTAGAAGAGAGTAATTTGTAGGCTCCAAATACAAAGAAATGATGAGGCAACAGAAATGCTAATTTCCTGATTTGATCAGTTTATACTGTATGTACCTGTTAAAATATAAGTGTACCCCATAAAAATATACAAGTATTAATTTAAAAAGGAAGATCCTTTTTATGTGATAAGTCTCTTCTCTTTTATTGCTTTCAAAATTATATCTTTATCTCTTGACAGTCTTTTTTTAAGGTATAAAAGCAAGATTTATCAGAGTCATAGACTTCCAGACAGAGTGGCATGGAAGGGGGCTCCAAGAAAAGCAAAATCCAAGAGGGCTGGTGGTACTGGGCTTTTAGGCACAATTTTGGAGAAGAAAAAAACTTCAGCTTGACATTCATTTACAAGGCAGGGATAACACCCATCAAAATACCTGATTTGCAATCTTTCATCCTGTCTGGAAGAAACAAAGAACCATCAGTAGGGTGGGATGCCTAATTTGCTTTATAGTCAACTGGGAGATCAGAAAGAATTGCCTCTTCCTTGCTATTCTTATGATAAGATTGGAAGCTGCCAAGGAGTGGGCAGGCACTAAGATTGGAAGCTGCCAAGGAGTGGGCAGGCACTTTTTTCTTTTCTTTTCTATTTTTTTTTTAAACCTTTCATTTAATGAATACAAATTTCATAGGTACAGCTTTAGGAATATAGTGGTTCTCCCCCAACCCCATACCCGCCCTCCTACTCCCACTCCCATCCTATTCTTCATTAAGATTCATTTTCAATTAACTTTATATACTGAAGACCAACTCTATACTAAGTAAAGATTTCCACAATTTGTACCCCCACAGATACACAAAGTATAAAATACTATTTGAAAACAACTTTTACAGTTAATTCTCATAGTCAACTCATTAAGGATAGAGGTCCTACATGGGGACTAAGTGCACAGTGACTCCTGTTGTTGATTTAACAATTGACACTCTTATTTATGACATTAGTGATCATCCAAGGCCCTTGTCATGAGCTGCCAAGGCTGTGGAAGCCCTTTGAGTCCACAAACTCCATCAGTATTTAAACAGGGCCATAAGCAAAGTGGAAGTTCTCTCCTCCCTTCAGAGAAAAGTACATCCTTTTTTGATAGCCCCTTCTTTCCACTGGGATCTCACTCAGAGATCTTTCATATAGATCATTTTTTGCCACAGTGTTTTGGCTTTCCATGCCAGGCAGGCACTTTTGAGCTTGCGAAAGAACCTCCAGAGAAAGCAAGTATTTTGCACCCTTAAACCTCTGTCCGGGGCCGACATGCGGCTCACTTGGTTAATCCTCCACCTGCGGTGCCAGCACCCCAGGTTCTAGTCCCGCTTAGGGTGCCATATTCTGTCCTGGTTGCTCCTCTTCTAGTCCAGCTCTCTGCTGTGGTCCGGGAGTGTAGTGGAGGATGGCCTAGGTCCTTGGGCCCTGCACCCACATGGGAGAACAGGAGGAAGCACCTGGCTCCTGGCTTCGGATCAGTGCGGTGCGCCGGCCACAGTGCACCAGTCACAGTGGCCATTTAGGAGGTTAACCAACGGAAAAGGAAGACCTTTCTTTATGTCTCTCTCTCTCTCTCTCTCTCACTCTCACTGTCTAACTCTGCCTGTCAAAACAAAACAAAACAAAACAACACAATACAAAACAAAAAAACCCAACTCTGTCCGGACTACCCTGACTGCCCACTAACCCATCTTACTCCTCACATCCTCTACCACCCTCTCCCCCGTAGAAGAATATACCCTAACTTCTGTTAGGGGAACTGGGCGATGACCACTGTGGCTGCTTCATGCTGAAAAGGGGCATCACTGGGAATGGCAGTCAAGACAGGGTTCCACAAGAGGTGGCTTCTCAGCAACAGGTGGCTTCTCGAGGGGGATGCAGTGCCAGCTTGCAGAAACTGCTTCCATCCGAGGTTTCATGTGCGTGGCCATCTAGAATTTCACTGTTTCAAGTCTGGAGAAAAGGAATCTAATAAGCAGTTTAAACTCACAGAGTCTAAAACAAAGGACAGAGTCATTACAGGACCTAAGAAAGGTGCTGGATAAACTATGAGCAAGTGTTCCTATTGAGAGGCCAGTAGAAACTGACAGGAGGGACCTGATACCAATCAGCTGGGCTAAGGCCTGGCCAGGTATATATGAGGTCCAAACCTATCTTTTCACATAAGGTACTGGAAGAGACACCCTAAGGGAGGTATGAACCTCCTTAGGGAAGGCACCCTGTTGACTTGCATTACCAAGCTGGCCTGGGCAGAGAGCTGGTAGATGGCAGCTCTAAAAGGAAATTTACATTTCCACCTGCAGTGTTACTGACCCTACTTGGCTGTCCCCTCAACCGCTGTGGTTACTTTGGAAGCTGGGCTGAGTAAAGGGCTTTTCAGCTTAGAGCCAGTAAGACCTGTGGCTCTGACCTGGGCATGCTTTGACTCCAGGGCAGTTCCATTTCCAGTGACCCAACTCTTGGCTGGCAGAGCTGCCAGGTCTCTTCAAACGCTGACTTCTGTGTCCATCAGAAGCCCTGGCTTTCCACATAGAAAAACCAATGCCATGGGCTGGCACTATGGTGCAGCAGGTTAAAGCTCCAGCCTGCAGCACCAGCATCCCATATGGGCGCCAGTTCTAGTCCCAGCTGCTCATCTCCTGATCCAGCTCCCTGCTATGGCTTAGGAAAGCAGTAGAAGATGGCCCAAGTCCTTGGACCCCTGCACCAAGTGGGAGATCCAGAAGAAGCTCCTGGCTCCTGGCTTTGGATCAGCTCAGCTCCAACCATTGCAGCCATTTGGGGAGTGAACCAGCAGAATGGAAGACCCCTCTCTCTTTCTCTCTGGCTCTACCTCTCTCTGTAACTCTGTCTTTCAAATAAATAAAATATATCTTAAAAAAATAAAAAAAACCAATGCCATTTACGATGGACTGGACTGTTGTGTCTCCTTGATGCATCACTGTGTATAGCAGCCATTAATTAGCCTGTCACCTATCTTTACATTGCTTCTGCTGCCTAGCTTCTTCTTCCTCCTGGTTTCTGTTAAAGCAGACCAGAGGAAACCTTTAAGAGGATGCAAGTCAAGGGGGTACTTAGTCCCATCTGTGGGGAGCAACCCGGACTGGACTGAGTTACTGGAATTAAGACTTATTCTGTGCATCTGCTCTCCCACAATATGGCGCTGGGAGAGAAGAAAACAGCTTCTACACAGCTGCCTCTTGCCAACTTGAGTGATGACCTCCAGGAGCTGATCCTGCTCCTGATTGGAGGAGAGCAGCGTACTCGGTGTGTGGGCAGCCGAGTTAGGATTGGCGGAGGAGGACTATAAAGGAGGAGAGAGACGGCATGCACCAGGAACATCTAAGGGGAACACCTGTGCAGCCCCCGAGAGAGCCGGCTGGCGGTGTGCCGCTCCCCCGCGGAAGTGGGGAATGTGGCAGGGGGAACCGCCCTTCCACAGAGGTGGAAGGGTCAGTAGCCAACCCGGGAAGAGCCAGCAGCAAACCCGGGGAGGGCCGAGCAGACGAAAGAACAGCGCAGGGTCCTGTGTCGTTCCTTCACGAAGAGGGGGAGCGACATAATGGTGCCGTGACTCGGATATGAAGCCTAGGCAGGGTTTAGTGTCGTTCCTCCACGAAGAGGGGGAGCGACATAATGGTGCCGTGACTCGGATAGGAAACTTAGGAGGGAAGAAACAGGAAGAAGTGGGAAAATACTGGAGAGAGAGATTAGAAGAGCCTAGGGGAAAGCCGGACGGAAAAGGTGCCAGAAGAAGCTATTGAAAGCCTAGGCATAGACTCGGATACGGACTGTGGGAAAGAAGTTAGGATTTAAAGTGAAAGCAAGAAGAAACTTAGACTCAGATACGGACTGCAGGTTGAAAGTGAAAGTGAAACCTATAAGAAACTTAGACTTGGATAGGGACTGTGGGGAGAGGCCAGGAGAAATGAGGGAGGAATATTGTTGGAAGAAAACTTAGGGAAACATACCGGGTAGAGAAAAATATGTTAGGGAGGATGTAGCCGCGGGGGAAGGCTGAGGCGGAGACGAAAGCTACATTGGGATTCGTCGAGTTAGCCCGGGAATAAGGGGCGAAAAGTTAAAACCAGAAGCGGAAACGTAAGCCGGGTTGAATTTGCCAGGTTAGCCCGGGGAACTTGGATTGAATGCTAGTGGCGGAAACGTGAGCTGGGGCTGTGTGACTCGCGGAGGCTGCCACGCGCAGAGAGAGCGTGCGGGGCACAAGTAGATGGGGAACGCTGGGCTGGTGCGAGGCCGTGGTGTGGGTGCGAAGCCGGGAAGCCGCACAGATGAGAGAAGCTGGCTGAAGCGGCTCAGAGCTGGGAAGCCGCCGAGAAGCTGCCGAGAAGCAGCCTCGGGGCGGGCGCCGGGAAGCCGCAGGGATAAGAGAAACAGAAGTTTTAGAAGTAACATGAGAGAAATAGGAATGCTGGTAGATAGAAGTAAAATGGGAGAAATAGGAATGCCCGGAGATAGAGAAATAGAGAAAGGCCCCCCCACAACACAGCAATGAGAGAGCTTGGATTCGGTCTGCCTGATTAGTAAGGCGGTAAGCACCAGCAGGCAGCTCGACCAGAGTATGAGCTGCAGGTCATCGAAGATAGGCACGAATCAACACCAATAAGTCTCCCCACAATACGGCAATGAGAAGGCTTGGATTCGGTTTGCCTGATAGGACTTGTAAGCACCTGCAGGCAGTTCTAGCAGAGTAGAGCATGCGCTGCAGGGCACCGAACACAGGCACGCATCAGCGCCTAAAAACCTCCTCACAACATGGCGAAGAGAGGACCTGGATTCGGTTTGCCTGATTGATAGGACTTGTAAGCACCTGTGGGCAACTCTAGCAAGTAGAGCAGAGTGTGTGCCGCGGGACACCGAAGACAGGCGCGTATCAACGCCAAAAAATAAAAAGAAAGGGGGATCTGTGGGGAGCAACCCGGACTGGACTGTTACTGGAATTAAGACTTATTCTATGCATCTGCTCTCCCACAATATGGCGCTGGGAGAGAAGAAAACAGCTTCTACACAGCTGCCTCTTGCCAACTTGACTGATAAGCTGCAGGAGCTGATCCTGCTCCTGATTGGAGGAGAGCAGCGTACTCGGCGTGTGGGCAGCCGAGTTAGGATTGGCGGAGGAGGACTATAAAGGAGGAGAGAGACGGCATGCACCAGGAACATCTAAGGGGAACACCTGTGCAGCCCCCGAGAGAGCCGGCTGGCGGTGTGCCGCTCCCCCGCAGAAGTGGGGAATGTGGCAGGGGGAACCCCCCTTCCACGGAGGTGGAAGGGACGGTAGCCAACCCAGGAAGAGCCAGCAGCAAACCCGGGGAGGGCCGAGCAGACGAAAGAACAGCGCAGGGTCCTGTGTTGTTCCTCCACAAAGAGGGGGAGCGACATAATGGTGCCGTGACTCAGATAGGAAGCCTAGGCAGGGTCCTGTGTCGTTCCTCCGCGAAGAGGGGGAGTGACATAATGGTGCCGTGACTCGGATATGAAGCCTAGGCAGGGTTTAGTGTCGTTCCTCCATGAAGAGGGGGAGCGACACCATCTCCAATCTTTGGTGGCCTAAGCTGGAAATCTATAGTCACAGGCATGTTCTGATAGTGGTTTTTCTGTGAGGTAGACAATACTCACAAGGAAAGCTATGTCCTCACCTTAACATCAAACATGATGACCACCTTATCCTTAAAATCTGAAGTCATTAATAAAACTTTCTCTCCCTTCATTCAGTTTGAAAAGGGAGGTTTTGCCTGTTTACTGTGCCCATGGCAAAGAAAATCTAGCTGTGAAATCATAATTTCTTCCATATATAGCCAGGCCGTTATTACAGAAGATTGTTAGCCATCATGTTATAAGGTCTAAAGATCAAACTGTACATCCAATGGAGAGTTCTTCAGAATAGAATCAGTTTCCCTTCTTGAAGAGAATAGAGAAATGAGGGAACAAGTCAGGTTTCCCAGATTCTTGACAATCTTACTATAATATATGTAAATGTGGATCTCTGAACTTTGTCCTACTTGAATTTTGTAGAGGCTTGTTGGATTACAGATTAATGATTTTAAAATTACATTTGGGAAGTTTTCAGTCATTTCTGCAAGTTCTCTTTCTGTTATTGTTTCTCTCGTTCAAGGATTCTTATTATGAGCATGTTGACATACTTGGTGCATCCCACAGGTCTTTGGAGCTCTGTTCCTTTTTTCCTATTTTTTTTCTGCTCACTGTAATCTTCAAACTGAATAATATTAAATGTCAGCTCAAATCTGCTGTTCAATTCCTCTAGTGAAATTTTTTTTAAGATTTTATTTTTTTACTTGAAAGTCAGAGTTACAGAGAGGCAGACGCGCAAAAAGAGAGATCTTCCATCTGATGCTTCACTCCCCAACTTGTCGCAATGGCCAGAGCTGTGCTGATCCAAAGCCAGGAGCCAGGAGCTTCTTCCAGGTCTCCTATATAGGTGCAGGGCCCAAGGATTTGGGCCATCTTTCACTGCTCTCCCAGGCCACAGCAGAGAACTGGATTGGAAATGGAGCAGCCAGAATTTGAACTGGCACCCAAATGGGATACCAGCACTGTAGGTGACAGCTTTACACACTGTGCCACAGCGCTGACCCCAGATTTTTTATTTCAATAGTTTAATTTTCAACTCAAGAATTTTTATTGGCATGTTTTATAATTTTTAACCTTTTTGACAATCTTTATTTGATAAATTGTCCTCATATTTTCCTTTAGTTGTGTAGATACAGTTCCTGGAAAATATTTAAATAGGTATTAAAGTCTTCATCTAGTAAGTCTAACTTTTAGGCTTCCTTGGACAATGTTTCCAATGACTATTTTTAAAAATTTATATACATTTTTATTTGAAAGGAAGAGAGAGATATAGAGATGCAAACACAGACATCTTCTGTTTGGTTTTTCGCTCCCTAAATGCTTTCAACAGCTTGGGTTGGGCT